CTCAACAGCCTCGGCTCGTTTCAGACCCATATATATCATCACTCACGGGTGTTTAAATTTAGGGCGGGGGAGAGGGTAAGAAACGATGCGCAGGCAGCCTTGTTCTGCTACTAAGCGAAATTTGCAATGGGGTTGGGGCTGTTGGAGTGTTCAAGTGCGCACATATACGACTCAAGCCAAGTCCTGCTGCTTTTCTGACAGGTTCGCCCTGCCCCGACCAAACCGTAATGAAGGCAAGCATAGGGCTCCCAATCCGAATCTTCAATGAGCACAGAGCAGAGTTGTTTTGCGACCCAGGTCCCTAAATTTTCGAAAATTTAGAGGCTTGGGTCCTGAAAAAACCCACGAGCGGAAATCCTTGAATGAACAAGCATGGAACCCTTACTGTTTGGTCAACATAACACGAATACGCTTGTTGAATCCCGTAGCTGCCTAGCTTCTGTACATCGCGGAAGCTTGGGCAACTGGTCATGTCTTGACGCCTCCCGGATGAAACTAGATGTCAAGTAGAAACACTGATTTTTCCCCAGCAAGAATCCAGAAGCTTGAGCATGGAATGCTCGTGATCGACCCCAAACAGAAGCTCCTAGCGAGATTGCCGTTCGGAGACGAAGGTCGGTATGACCCGGTATTTACTTGTATCTCCAGATCTCAGATAGAAGCTTCTTCCCGCAGCTGCCAGGCTGCTAAGCCAGCATGGAGTGCTGTACATCTATGCAACTAGCCTCTGTCAAAAAATCGCTCTTTGAAAAGAGGCTGCTGCGGTGTTGACGTTTGGCGAGCTGCAGCACCTGCCCAAGCCCAAGTGAAGATAGAGGTAATCGGGGTTTCAATCATCTGGGTCCTACGAAAGGTTCGGCCGTGAGGCAACTGCACAAACGTGCCTCCATGTTTTTCTCGTCTTCTGTAACCAGCGCCACGTAAGCCATGCCCTTGCCAGCCACAAAATCGTCCACTGACTCCAACCAGCGCCAGGAAGTCTTTCGCAGACAGTCGTCAACCACCTTTCGCATAACGGCATAGAAATCTTCGTGCTCCTGATGGAGGATTTCGTCAATGCTAGGTGACAGCAAATCCCCAAGCTCGGCACGACAAGGCCTGGAAAAGTAAAAAGTCCAACAGAAACAAAACCCCCGATCTCGCTCCTGCTTGAAGGCCCGGCTTAGCCAGACATGCCGTTTGAGGTGACCAACTCCTTTGAACTTCAGGCAGAGCCCAGGGCGCCCCCGCAACATTGGAAGATCAAGCACGTAGCTGCCACGAAGAACGGCACATAACTGAACCAACTCTGGCAAAGATTTCAGATCTGTCGCTATGACGACATCTGCGTCTCCAGCAAAGTTCACCATCTGCATGCCCAAGTCTTGCGCCGGTCGCACAGCTCCGGAAACACCTGCACAGATGAAGGCAGGCACCCTTGCCTGGCCAGCATCCTGCAAAAACCACGGCTTGGAAGGCCCACGGTATAGAAGATCTCTTTTTTTCTCTCCTGCTGAAAGATCAGGAGGGTTCAGGAGCGCAGATTTCTTGGCGGCCAAATGCTGGATAAATGATTCCAGTTCTTCGTCCGCTTCCTCTGGAAGCAAGTGTCCGTCCTTGAGTGCCTGAAGTTTTCGTTCCATTCGGCCCTCTCGTTGAAACTCCAACTCAGCCTTGGCGGCGTCTGGCAGAACAGGGGCGGGATCTCGGCACGCCCCTTGCTCTTGCACCTTCGCCTGCACTTGACGTCTCCGCTCCTGAATCCATCCACGCTCTGTGTCTCCGGAGGGTTCGGTCTTGCGTTTCACACCTTTGTCCAGACGAGGCTGACTGTGTTGTCGGGGTGCACCATAAAGACCCAGCCATACCTGCTAGACTGGTATGTTTGGGGTTTAGGGTTTAAGGCAACCCCTGAACTGCTGAACTTTATTTAATTCAAGTCATACATTTGCTAGGCCTGCTGAGCCAAGCGAATCTGTTGGTCCTCGGTCTGAGGATCATGATCCAAAAGCAAAACCATGTCCCGGCATTCACTGCCTTCTGAGGCATGGGACTGCCGCGCGGTCTGGAAATGGGTCCCATGACCAAAAGCTTGCTCAACTCCACTGGTTGATGGCGTCCACGCCACCCATCTCGACAGAACAGTCAGCAAACTATCGCATGGATGCCGGTCTCGACGTTTCTTGGTCGTACAAATTCGCTTCAATGTGTGCTGCCAAGCCGTCACCGAGTCGCAGGAAGTGGCAGATGCATGGTTGCGTGCGAGGACGGCCAAATCTTCAAGTTGAGATCTTAACAAGGCTTCCTCGAGATGGAAGAACCTGGCCAAGCGCCTGATATGAAGGTCCCGCACTTCATTCGTCATGCCGTCTCTGTGATTTCCTGCAACCTGAAGAATGGAGAAGCTGGCAAGAACATCCCATTCAGGGAATTCATGCGAGATGACTGATTGGCAGAGCCTGACCCAAACTTTCATGCGAGCGAGGCAACGGTCCAAAATCTCTGCAGTTATGCAATTCGGACCCCCAATTGCACGAACACCCCTGCCATCCAGACTTGGTAGCAGGATCTCTCGCCGGCTCAGCGTGTCAATCATGTGTCGAGTGTAGCCGGTCAAGACACAAACAGGTTCATCTGAGACAAACAAAGCACTTACCTTTGTCAGGAAATTGTTGATGTTCATCCAGATTTCCTCTGATGCAGCCGATTCTGAATCGAACTGTCGTACAAGCTGTCCCCCCTCGTCCCCGGCATCGGCGAGCATGGCGATCTGAAGAATGATCTCTTCGGTAATGTACGCCAAGAAGGCAGACGCCTTGTCTCCACTTTCGTCCCCGCGCCGTTCGCGACTGATTTCAACGATTGTTTGTAACAGCGGAAAGAACCAGAGCACGAACCTCCCGACGGGTTTCTGGGTGGAGTCAAACCG